ATGGATCTGTAAGCTTGTTCTGCCATAATATTACAGGTTTTTCGGAATTTCAGACACTAGTGGTACAGGAAAACTATTTTGTGCTTACTTCTAACCTCCTAAATGACATAGCAGTGTTAGAACATACGTTGTTAGAACAAGTGCTAATTACTGTCAGGGCAGTTTTCGTGAAAGCCGTTGTCTCTCTAGTATATTACCTTGTGGCAAAATTAATCTTGTCCATGGTGATGCAATTCCAGAGGCATTTGTGTTAATAAGGTAAGATACACCACATGATTGCTCACTGTTCGCTGACTTAAATGCGGACAAGGAAATTTTGCGGTGGATCACAACTCATTTCAAGTTGCCACGCATGTTGCTTTCTTCATGCACCTTCCTGTTGCTCTGAGTTCCTGTTGATCTACGTTGTTTCCCAATATTAAGTTGTGCTGCACAGTTGCTTGTGGTTTCTTGCTGATGGAGTCACCACACTTCACTACATCTGGTATTTCAGTACTCCATCTGCATTTCAGTAACTCACTGGGCCTTGTGTGTATATCTAGAACCACAGAGAGGAGCTGGGTTTATTCACCGTCCAGACAGGTGAAAGCTCAAGAGAAACACCATCTTAATGAGGATGCATGTCAGGCCATTGCTAAGTGGATTGGCCGTGTGAAATCACTTTGAGACCCCTAGCAGTGTTGGATCAAGGGGGAAGTAGGAGGTAGTAGGAAGTCAAGGGCAGAAAAGGAACACTACTGTAGCACTTCATCATTTTATGTCAGATAAAGAATGTCAAGAAAAATGAAGCTGCTGAAGACTGGAATGGTGATTAAGATATTGTCTGCAATATTCTTGCAATAGAGGAGCTTGAGACAATTTGAGGATGCTTACAAGAACTCATGAACTGAAGACTTTGGAAAGAGGAGTCTCACCCTTGTAAGTGTTTTTCTTGTGATATTAAATCCTTTTGTAGAAGGCATTAAATGCAACTTTTATTACCTAGTGTTTTTTAAATTGATACTCCTATGACTTTATGGAATAATTATTGCAGGCCCAAATCCTGATGGGGTTGGGATGGGATTTAGTCCCAGACCAGTGCTACTATGAGAACATTAAGGTTCTTTAGTCCTGGAAAAGCCATTGTCTGTCTATAGGTCCCTCGCTTACCTTTCTATTCCCTCTGGTGTGTCACAGGAAGTCTTCCTGTCCTTAAAATGAGATTTCATACTGGTTATTGCCTTTTTTCTTTCCTTTTCAGCATATCTGCTGTGACTAATTAAATTTAAAACTATTAATTTTGTTTTTTCTGTAGTTTTTGAATGCTGTATCTAAAATTATTATTTTTACAGTATAATTGGAGCAATGGTTCAGGGCATTGTGTCATGGCTGTATCTGAGGTAATTCCTCAGTGTTTGTTTATGAAATATGAAAATGTCACATTAGCAGATTTTTTTTTTAGGAGAGTTGTAATTTTTATGCAATATGTAAAACTGTTTAGAGTGTAAATAAAACTTCATTTCCAAAAGATGAGGCAGTAAGCTAGAGAGCAGAGAGTATTAATACATTGACTCCAGAGAGCTACTAGAAGATTTTTCTCTACTTAAAGGGTTAGAAAGTGAAATTTTGTTTAGCATACATTATTTCCTTTACAGGACCAAGGTGGAACCTTGATTGCTGCAGTATGTAAAGTATGTAAAACACCTAGACCTTTCTTATTCATTTC